CATTACATTAAAAAAAAAATCTGTAGACTGGCACACTTAGTTACCTGTATGACTAATGATGTTTGAGGAGATTACCAGGAAAGAAAATTAAATTCCACTGTTCTTGGAACTCCTTCGAGTTTTTGCTCCCTTTTTTTTTTTTTTAGGTATTATTGAACAATGAAAATCCTATTTCAGCTGTTTACTGAGTTTTGTCTTTAGCTTCCTACTGTTGCAATGTTCCTGTGTCAAATGCAGGAGAATATTTAATTTTAATAACATTCCGTGGAATTTTTAAGTGTGGAAATATTTCCAAAATTTAACACTTTTTGGGGGTGGGGAGGGAGTCAAATGCAAGTTGAAGGAACTTGTATCTGTATATTTCATGTTCTGTGACTAATTTGCTTCTTTACTTGTATGGAGAAGTCTTGCTATGTTTTCAGATCTACGCGTCAGCAGCAAGGAGTAAGGTCTGTCATAGCACATGTGTGAGGAAAGGATATTGTTTCAAGACCAGCAGCCCAAAGAGACAGAAAGAGAAAGACTAAGAAAGGAATTAATTACTTGTGGTCCTTCTTGAAAGGAATTTGGCAAAGCTAAAGTTGTTTGTCAAATAGAAATCGGGAAGGATGAGGAACAAAGATATATCCATTGCTGTGTTCTTCCTAGTGCTGTTTCCTGTCTTCCTGCAAGAGCTTCATCCTTTCCCTGATGTTCCCCTTGGAAATATCCAGTAGAGTCTGGTGAGACACTGTATTACTACTCTGAAATAGAGTGGTCTGTGTAATCAATTCCATTTTGGCTGCTGAATTTAAAATAAAACCACCACACATTGAATCGAGCTCAAATTCATTCCTTTTTTTTAAACTAGGATGAAAAACAGGAAAAAATACATATGCAGTGTTATGTGGCAGTGAACTTTAACAAAATATTTCAAAGACAAGTAAAGGGAACAAAGTGCTTGAGTTGCTAAACTGGTGGCAGCAACGTCGTCTTTTCATCCAGGGTGTTTAGAAATCTTGTGAAGGATGAGTGGGACCCAGAATCCATTCTTTATACTGTGCTTGAAGGAGTCTGAATCGTATCTTCTAACTTTGAAGAAAGTGTTCTACCAAAATGTCTTATACTCTGCGATTTCCCTGCAGTCCTTCTAGCTTTAAAATTTCACTTTAATTAAAATACATGGCTGTTTTTTATAGACAGAGCTGGATTTCCCAGGGTGGTCAACTGCAGGCAAGAACCAGGCTGCTGTACCCATGACAGCGAATGCATGGCCCTATTCTGTGTCATTGTGTGCACAGAATGTTTTGGGAGTTCTGAACCCTGAATTATCTTATAAATGGGTTCTGAGTAAACTACCTGAAAGAGTTGGACTGAATTCAGGGGAAGGAGTGAGGAAATTCAATGTGTGGACGGTTGAGCATCCTGACTGATTTTCTGAACCGCTAAGAAAATTACTACTGCTTTGTTTTATTTCTTCAATATTTAGAAAATCTGAGCTTGAGAAACTAGAGTCAAAGTAAATCTAAAGAATGTTGAAGGGCTAAAGCTGGGCATGTTTGACAAATAAGTTACTATACCAGAAAAGAGCAAATTAAGTTTCGCCAAGCTTCTGATCTTCAAACCTACAGAGCTCTTCTGGCATTGAAACATAGTACAGGCTTCTGGACTGTTTCATATTTGCGTAAATTGGAGAGGTCAGAGCATGAACTCTATCTTGCTATGGAATCGGGCATCACATGCTTGTGTTCAGAATTTACATCATGTTACACACTTAGTCTGCCTAAATATTAGGAGAGACTTCAGCTTTAACTATCTATCTCTTTTCCCCATGTCCATTGTAAATTGATGGCCTTTGTGTTGACCTTTTAAAAGCAGAAGACATCGCATCTCTACAAAAGGTGTTGAAGTAATACCTCCTGGGGAGGGGGTGGAAATCAAACTGTGGCAGAACTGTTGCAGAACATGTGTTTAAAGGGCGTGAAATTATTTGCATGCGCACTTGTCACCTGCAAGGAACAGGTCATCCCCTGGGCTGCTCCTAGCCCTGCAGACGCTTTGGGGGAGCAGAAAACAGCACTTTGGAAGATGCTGATGGAGAGTGGAAAATGAACAATAGAGTGGAAGTTTGTTTTCTCTCAATATGACATTACTGCTGCTCATCTCAAGTACCTAAGAGGGACCAGGCTTCTCAAAAATGTGTAGAGGAGTGGAAAAATAGTGGGAAGAGAGATTGTGAATAGGCTGCCTTTGGTCTCTTTTGAGATGCTGCTGTTTTCAAGCACTAATTCTTGCAGTTCTTTCTTCCCTTTCCCTGTCTTTGAACTTGTTTAAAATGGAGCTCAACCTTCAAATGAGAAGAAAAGCAAAGCAGTTGGGAGCACTTGATTTTCCATCTACATTTCCTGCTCTTCAGACTTGCTTATCAGAAATATCAGCAAGTGGAACAGGGCACTGGTCGGGCAGAAAGGCACTGATGAGAATAGAGGCGACTTGGATACTGTTTTCTGCTCTTCCACTGGCATGCTGCATGATTTTGGGGAAAAACAGTTCCCTGTTGCTGTTTTCCCCTTATATGAAACAGGAAGGAATAAATTTTACAGGGGATGTTGATTGCTTTCAAATTTTCTGATGAAAAGTGCTGCATAAGAACTAGTCAGTGTATCATTGACTGCATGAATACTACTGAATCTGTAATAATTTTTCTTCTTCTGTGTCACTCTGAGATACAGAGGAAAATTACCTGGTTTCCTCATTTTTCATTGCTCTCCCCAGCGCTCAGGACCCCAGGCCACTGATATTATGCAGCAGATGCTTTTCATAGATCGGATTAAGGGTTGATGAAGTAACAGAGCCTCATGCAAGCATCCCACTGTGCTCTTGAAACTGGAATTTCATTCCTGGTAGTGATCTGTATGGCTTTGCATTTACCTTAGAAAAATATTATTATTAAAAAAAAAGGGAGATCTTTGGAAAGAAAGGCGGTAATATTAATACTAAATTTCTTGCTAACATACAGTGTCCAATATGTCACTAAAGGCCTAATGGTATTTAATATATGGATTCTTCTACATAGTAATTCTCCTAAGGTGTTTTATAAACTATAAGAGGAAGAGGTACAATTGTTCACAAATGTTTCACTGAGATTGTTTTAAGTCAGTTAAAATTGCCTTTGAGAGTAGAGTTGCACTAAAAAGAGAGAGGAGAGATGGAAAAAAGAAACCCCAAAACAGGGTCCTGTTCAGTCTAGGGTTTCAGGCGAGAGAGGAAAAGGTCTAGTTATCCAGAGCCAGATGCATTGTTAAAAGTTCATACTATCACTTTGACATTTAGAGTAGGACTCAGTGTCTTTGTAAATTCCTCTTCGTATTACCAGTGTAGGTCTCTGAGCTCAGACCATTTCACAAACCATAACATTTTTTAGTGAGTGATTGATCTGTATTATGTGTCCTAGCCATCAGAAGAATCTTGGGATGTTGCTTGTATAAACTGTAATACAATCTGATCCTGGGCATTTAGTTACCGACTTTCATAGACCTATTGGCGATACTCAATCCTCCTGGATTTGGTAATAGGGCTTATCTGATACCTTAAAAAAAAAAGAGGGGGCGGGGGGCAGGCAGGAAAAAAAAAAGTGCTTCGTTTTCTCTGTTCCCCACTTAAATAACTCAACACATCTGGCAACACTGTAGGATCATTGTCCTTTCAGTTCCTCTGCAGCTCATATTGCTCCAATATTTCTTCGGTATCTAGTTTCCTAAAGGGCAATGCGATTTTTTTTTTTTTTTTTTTGGGCTGTTTTTATAGATCTTGCAAATTAACCCATATGCATTGCAAGAAAAAACATGACTTTTAATCAGCACCATTTCTAAAGTTAGCGCTTGCTCTGTGTATATGAATATGTATACGAACCAGTGTTTAAAAAAAAGAAAACATACAACCTTTCTGCTAGTACTCAAAACTAGCATATAAATGTGTTTTTATTACCAAATAAAGTATGCCTAAATGTTAGAATACCTTTCTGTTAGGGGTTTTATCATTTGACTTCTTGTCTTCAGTTACAAGAATGATAAAAATTGAAACTAAATCTTTTAATTCAATAAGAACTACATTGAATTTTAGGAAGCAAAAAGAGGAATCAGATATAGACTTATATGCATAGGAAATTAAACATTCAAGAAATTAAAACTTTGTGAACAACTAAAAAGGGTAGCCTTAAGGTGCACTTATTTGAAATGCCTGCATTTAATTTTACAATAAATCTGAGTATTTTGTTCCAATTAAGACAGTTCATGTGTACAACTTTAAATTGTACAGTAGTTCCAGGGAGATTGTGGACTGCTTGTTTTACATTCTGGATCAAGTTCAGATTTTTAGGCTTTGCTTGAATAAAATAAAAAGTCTGAACCCTGAAGATAATACAGATTGATAAATCTGATTTAAACATTCCCGTGTTGCAGACTTTCAGTGTATGTGGTACAGCTGAGCCTCAGGCCATGCACTAAATACATCCACAGTGCATTCCCAGGGAACCCGAATACCAAATGATCACATTTGAAAGGTTACCTTTCTATGGATTCTGACTTTTCTGTATTAGCCACGAAGATTAGAATTTTAACAGCTCCCAATGAGAGGTATTGTGAAGTATTTACTTGGCAGGAAAAAAACAAAACAAAACAAAGCCCAGATGAGGTACTGTCTCATATTCATGAACTGGGATTTATTAGTTCTGTGAATGTCCTTGTGAGAATACACTCCATAGTTCACACTTCAGGAAAAAAAAAGTCTTGTTTTTCATTTATATTAACTTAAAACTTTGATAGAAGAGTTACTGTAGTAGAGGTTTTAGCAGAGAGACAGGATCATGCTTGTGCAGAATATATCCCAGTAAATCCTGCAGTCTTTCACAACTAGCTTTCTGGAAGGAAAGTTATGACCATCTCTAGAAATCTGGCAGTAGCTTTGTTAGTAAATTTGGTGACAATTAAAGATGTACGGCTTTTTGTCCTTTTCCTTTACAGGTTGTGGAACTCATTTCAAGTGCTATTGGTGACTTAGTTCAAGGCATATATTATGAAAACTCAAAATCATCTGAGGTAAGAATTTCAGTGGTTTTACATACCCAAGAAGTTTGGTGATATTAATGTGTGACTACAGTAAATGTGATGACTTTCTCATCTGTTTAAAAGAAGGAGGGAGGGGGAGGAAGAGAATTAGCTGCAGTCCTAGTGAGTTTCGGCAGTAACATCGCTATGACACCTGTGAACTCTGATGGAAGTTTCTAGAAAAGCTCAAAGAGGGACTGTTTAATTTCTGTGATTGCTTAATAAAACAATATCATGTGTCATTACCAGGAGCTCTAGACATGTCTTACTATGGGCTTTCCAAACACTTCCAGGGGTTTCTAGTCAAGGTTCTGTTAGAGGCATTTATTACAATGTTGTCAACATCACTAATACTTTCATGTTAAATCTCTCATTTCCAAGCCCAAAGATGTTTACAAAATGCTTCGTCACAAACTTATGTTGGGTCCTTTCTTCTTCTGACTGTTCACCTTTTAATAGTATAAACATGAGTTTTGTCTTGAAGAGGTAAGAGGGTAGCACAGTACTCTTCTCTGCCAAAAGTCACTGTGCACGCATTGCAGGGGTCGGCATGGGCAAAGACAGTGGCTGCCGGTGTTTCACATCAAATAATCTTTTATTTCTTCAAGAGCAAGTACGGATGTACTGTGTTATTGTGTGGCAAGAACTGTAATGAAAATTGGTCAAATTAGATCTAGGTATTTTTGTCTTTACTAGAATATTTAAGGAAACTTGTAGAGACACTTCTTGAAGTAGGCTTGCTTCGGCAGGATGATGGAGCAAAAAAAAGTTCTTTTTCATTTGCTATGACTGTATCTTAACACATGCAAAAAATTGATAATTTAAAGTTCCCAAGACCTCTACAGGTTTTATGATATCAAGTTTTCACTGTATGGGAATGAGAAGCAGTATGTATATGTGACTATCTGTCTTGAAATCCACTGGGGTAGGTAGATTTACTTACAGTGATGTTGTCTCACATGCCTAGTTTGCCTCAGAGACCTGAATCTTAATGTTTGGTAGGTGAAATGGCTTGAAGATCACAGAAATACATTAATTCATTTATATTTGTTGTGTATTTAGATTGCAGCTCTGGCTTACTATTGCCATGTTGTAGTATCTAGCAAAATTAATACCTTAGTGGAAGCCCTGATCACGTGGGTTACCGCTACAGTAGCTACCTGCACTGATGGCTCTGCACCAGCCAAACCACAGTGGGCAAGCGGAGAGTGCCGTCGGCTAACAGTGGCTGGGCCCTGGAGGGTGCTGCTGCACCCAGCGACTCCGCTGCTCAGTATCTGTCTCTCCTGCTCTGCAGCAGCAAAGATATGTTACTAAAGCTAACCTCGGTTAAGCTTATCCCTCTCGTTTGGATCCCTCGGAGGAGGCGAGAGCCTCTAGCAGGAAGGCGGTAATGGCATGCTCGGGAGACGCCTGGGGCTGCCGGCTCACCGGGCGGCACGGCTGCGCGCAGAGGACCATGTAGATGGAGCATCCTGTGGCACCTCTCAGGAGGGGACCCTGGGTGGAAGCGTGGCAGCAATGTGATGTTGGGAACTTGGCGGTCCTTCTGCACCTGCTGTGTTTAACCCGTGGATAAAGAGACTTCAGCCTTTGGGGTTGCTCGCAAGTACTGTGCTCAGGGTTATATGTTAAAATAGATGATGTCTTTGAGATTTTTGCAAAGGATGTTTAAAATTTTGTTTTCCGTGTTCAAGCAGGTTTCTAAATACAAGTAGATCCCAGATATATTTTAAAAAACAACTATTCTTTTGTGTGTAGAAGTAAAGCTCCACAAGTTCATCTCAGCAATGAAACTGCATTTTATTTTAACCATGGCCCCTTTATAAATGAGAAACGTTGTGGACTCTTTTGGGTTCCTGCCACTGCAGAAGGTCTTAATCTTCTTTTTCTTAGTCTTTCTGTTTATTTTCTGTTGAGTTCCTGAAGCACTCCACATGTGTAGATTGCGAGGGATGTGTGAGATAAACTAAGCACAGCTGCATGATGTTTACCCTGCCCTGGCCCAATTACAAATAGCAAAGATTTACTTCATTTTGGTGACTTTTTCTGTCTAAGGAGAGTTGAAAGTACAGTATATGCTTCCTAAGGGGAACCTAGTTAACTCAAAACACAATTAGTATGGTGGCATAATAGATACTGAAATTTATGTGACAGTGTCTGAAGTTTAGTCTTTATAATGGGTAGTGATCTCTTCTGATGAGATCTAGAACAAACAAGTGTGGGATCTACTTGAATTTTTTTTTGTCTTGTCCTCTGAGAAAGTTGGTTCCATGTTGTGCATGAGACGTGTCCCTGCTGCTTTCCTCGCACTGTTCTGCTGCGGCAGTGTCCCATTCGTGTCCTGAATATCTCTTTAGCAAAGATTGCCAAATGGGCTAGGTCAGTTGTTGGTCTGTCTTATTTGTATCCTTTGTGCATCTTCCTTCCATCCCTAACTGCAATTTGACTGGAACAAAAATGTGAACTACATTTTCTAGAGGTAAGACAAATACTTTAATTTACTCCACAACTAAATCTCAAATATCAAACTTTATTTCTTTTTAAGAGTAGGGCATCGGGATGTTAGTAATGGCATTTTCATTGCTGGGAATGTCTTAAATTTGGAAAAGCAGAAGGATATCTTCTCACCTTTTTTTTTTTTTTTTTTTTTTTTGAATTTTTTCTTTTTGAGGCAGGAAAACAGTACTTCGTATGTTAAATGTCTTTAATGCCGTTGTTATAAAGCTTCTCAGTACCTAAAATAGACTAATTTAGTAATTTAGCACCAAGTTGTTTTGAGCTTTGCTAGATGTCTACCTAGATGGTTTTATCTTTTACTTTAGACAAAAATGACTCTGCAAAATTCACCTTTCTCCTCTGAGACCTTAAGTTCATGTTTACCCCAAAAAAATGTTTCAGTTTGCTTCATTTGGATGACCCAGTAGGAAAATTGAAAGAATCATTTGACCTAACAAGACTGACCTTATTTACTCCTGAAGACATATAATGGATGTAATTATTTGACAGCTCTCATTACCACGTTTTTTTTCTCTGTAAAACCACATGCAGTTAGTTCTACAGCCATCCCATTTTAGTACATTCTGTTTGGTCATTCTTCATCTTGTCTGCATAGTGGGTCATTAGATCTGTGTGAAACGGGGAAAAATAAAGATAATATTTAACATTTCATCTTTATTTGAAGTGACAATCCAAACTACAAATTGTAGGCTTTGGCTGCAAAGACAGCCTGAAGGCTAGGGCTGCCACTCATGTTCAAAGTAGCAAATAGCTGCTGTGGTTTAAGACATTGCATTAGTGGCTTAAGCTAATATTTTGGACTGTAAGCTGGAGCAGAAAGGGGTGATGTGATAAACCTTTGCAGCTCTGTGTGCTAAATCCCCTTTCAACCCAAAATTCTGTGAGTGAAGGACACTATTCCCACTTCCCATCTGTCTTCCCTAAATCTAGATCTAATTTGGGAGTAAAAATTTGTGCCTTTAATGAGTGCAAAGATGAAAGTTGTCTAATCTGGCCTTCAATCATGATCGTGGTATCAATTTTTAAGAGGGAAAACATTGCACTGAGTCTCTGCTTCCTACTGTTAGGGGACTGAGGTCTTCTAAAATGTTTGCTACATCACAGAATACTGTTGCACTTTTAGAAACCTTCTGTCTTAATATCCCAGATCATTTAACAAATATTAATGAAGAATGCTTTAACACCCCTGTGAGTTCACTGAACAGGCTCAAGAGATACAGGGAAGCTCAAGGTCAAACAGCAGAATCAAGAGCAGGACTTGAGTGTGTTGGCTCTTGTGCTTTACCTGCCAGACCATTCTTGCAGTCTTAAAGTATTAGCGACTTTCATGCGAAACCGTTTTGTTAGGGTTTTTTTTTTTTCCCCTGACCTCCAGAATATCTAGCTGATGCTACATGTGCATTACCAAAACTCATTTTTAGTGTCAGAATGGGACTGTTATGTAAGACAAGACCATTTCCAACATGTTCCACTGATGTCTAGGAGAGCTGTTAGGTATTTTTGAAATTTTTGATGCAATTGTGTGCAAACTGTGTGTAACTAATATGTAAAACAAGTTTGAAAAAGAAATACATTAGTGGCAAGTACTCATTTTACCAAATAATGAATTAACAGGTGTTTGGTTTAGACCAATGTAGGCTTTTTTAATGAAAATAAGTTTATTTTCTGGCAAAGCACAGACTACACGCAGTGAGTTGTACTAATTCTTCTTTGATATTTGGTCACCAGTCCTGCTTTGAGGAGTAATGTTTTGGGATACTGCACATGTCCATCAACTGGATTGCTATGAGTCTATAAGTAAAGGATTTCTTACCAATTTTACCATAGGAGGTAAAGCAAATGTATTTTGAGTCATGTAAACCACCTTTTAGCAAGGCAGCAGTCAGAGCTTTCACTTTTTTTTTTTTTAAAACAAATGTTTCTGTTGCAAGGCAAAAGGGAAGGATAAAATACGGAATTTGAGTAAAGAGCATCTGTGAAAAGAATGGGTAAATGTGTCAGAGGGGAAATAAAAAAGCATAGCTAGAAAGAAGGCCAATGTTATTTGTTTACCGCTTTTGTTCTTTTAAATACTAAGCTTTTCCAGAGAGATTTAAAAGTAACAGATGTGGAGAGAGATTTAAATTTATTATAAGTTTTCAAACCTTTTTTTTTTTTTAATCATGTTGATTTTTTTTACAGTGTCACAATAAAAGTATTAGGTAGTTGGTGGCATGCTTTACTGACCCATTTGCAGACACTCTTGTTTTTCCAAAAGCAGTGAAGATGTGTATTAATAACCCAATAAAACATGCCCTGTCATGTTCAGCAAGCAGGAATACATCTGTTGAAAGCTTATGTGAACCATGTGCAAGATGTTTTGCAAGGTCTTGCTACTGGTAGAGGGATTCATAGTTGCATTGGGTTTTATTTATGTAAAATAGAAGTTTTTGAACTACCTGATTTAAAACTTTAAAATGCTATTTAAAAACATTTCTGTGTGTTTCTGTGGATTATTTGCCCATTGAGAACTGAACTAAAGTTTGATATAAGTGATTCAGACATTTCGATCATTTTGTGCAATGGCAGATGGCTAAGAAAGCTTATCATGGTATGGAAATAAAATAAAGGCTCTCTTACAAACTATAGCTGTAGTTTTACATTGAAAAGTGTCTGACTTCTACTCCTTCCTGGTTTTGCAAATGGTTTTGTGCACTTTTAAGTCAGTTTTCATTCATATTTTCCGTAATATGTTTTCAGCTGAACTGCGTATAAGCATCATATTTGGTGTGACAAATCAAACTGAGTTATTTTAAGTGCCACTTTTGTACTGGGGATCCTTGTTAGCATCACTAAGGGCTGCCCTTCCTGATGGTTATGATTGCATATTTTTTCCTGCAGTTTCATTTTCTAAAAGTTTTTTGTTTCCTGTTGCCTGAGATGATTGTTTCAAACCCAATTTAAATTATGGAGCTAGCTTAACAAAAAAATCTCAACTAGCCAATTTCTTTCTAACAAAACAGTAACCAACCTTGCCATTAGTAAAATGGGAGCACCCTCAGCTGTTCTTAATTTCCCATAGGAAATGATGATCGACAGAACTGGATTCGGATATTTTCCCTATACTCCCATGCCAACATTATCCAAACTGTATCTGGAGTTGGCTGCTTTCTTCCAGGGGTGGTGAGGGGTTCAGCTCTCTTCATCCAGCTTCTGCTACTCAGACAGAATCAGGGTTGGTTGTGATCTGGACCCATTTCTTGGTGACAGAGCTTGTGAATGAGGTCACTCCATAGGCAGTAGTTAATCAAATGTCTGAGCACTGTCAACTACAGCTAGAATTAATTTGAGTTTAAAAAGGCTTTTATACGAAAGGCTGCTACAAGTCTTCTGGGCCAGCTAATGACCACTGTTATATATATCCTTTGAAATATCCACTGCTGACAGAACAAAACAAAGCTTACAAAAATGTGAAAATTTCTCTAAAAGTAGTAAGTGCTGTCATGATGTCAGATTTCACAGACTTTGCAATCTAGAACTAGTTTCATTTTTTTCCCTTGATGTTTTAAAATAGTGTTTAGATCTTGTCATACATACCCTTGTTGTAAGAATGCAGTGTGGTTCGTGGACAGTTCATATGTAACATGAGTTAAGCTTGGGAAAAATGGCGTTTGAATTGTTGGAAAACTTTGCTGACAAAAGGTGGTGTCTGCCTCTGCCTTCTTAAGCAGCAGAAGCTTTAAGGGTATGTGGTCATAAGACATTCTGTGATGAAAATCAGCTATAATTTGGCTCACAAGTTCATATGCTAAAGCACATACATATGGGCATAATGCCTTTTTACAACTGGCTTCTTTCAGTAACCCAGAAAATCACAACGCCTGGTTTTTTAAGATTGCAATACTGGATCTTCAAATATGTCTCAAATTTTTGTCATTTTTTTTTTAAGTTAGATGTCCATTTTAGATGCTTGAAGCTCCTACATGGTGTTCATGTAGTGGACAATAACTTGTGCTATCATTTTCAATCCTGTGATAAAATTCAAACTTGTTTAAGAAGAATATATTTTTGTAACAAATCATAGAATTGATTTCCTTATATATGTCGAGTTGCAATGATTTTTTCAGCTTCTTCAGGTCCTGCAGCTGATATTTGATAATGTCCGCATTTCTGTTACTGCTCAAAGGCTCTAGCAAGCAAACGTTTTCAACTTACGGGTCTTCTGAAAGATTTTTTTAACTTCATAAATTGTTTCAGGATACCTTTCTAGAATATTTTTGTCTTGGTTGGATTTAAAACAAATAATTAGAAAAATCACTGCCAATTTTCAATATCATCCAGCAAATTTTAGTAAATACTGTTTTTTCACTGAGCAGATTGGTAGTTAAAGATTGTGTTGCGTCTTCCAAGAGCTCCTGATTTGAAATTTAAAATAAATTGATCTATATCCGAGTGGAAAAAAAAGACTTGATATATAGGAAACTACTTGAATTAAATGCTCATTTTGACATTTTGCCAGTCATGGGAATTTGCACATGCTCTGGGCTGAGTTAAGATATTAAAACAAAAATACTACAGTAAAATGAAACACGAGGAAAGTTTAGGCTTGACTTTGTAAGTTATCATATGCATAATAGCAAACATGTGGTTTCTCTGTTCTTCACTTTCCTCGTATAAGTTAATAGTATGTCTGAAGGCAAAGGCATTTTGATACAGCTCTGGGTTACTTGGCATTGCAGAATTCTACTTTTTCCATTAGTCTCAAATTATCCTCTCCCTTGTAACGCAGCACTTCTGGGTGATATCCATAAGGGAGGAAAATTAGAGCTGAACGGATGGATTCTATTTCATTTGTTACCGATTTCATGACAGATAATACCTTGCTAGAAAACTATAGGGTCACACAGAATTACTTCTTACTCATTTCTGAGTAATTTAATTGACGTCACTTTGAGGGAAAAGGCTTGCTATATAAGAGGGTTTTTTTTATATTACTCTTAAAGAATACCTTTTGGCTTAGCATACGCTACCGATTTGGCTGAACTGAGAAATTACAAACTTTTAACATTTATATGCTTGAAATTCTTTCTGTAGCTTCTCATTACTGATTTTAGTTTTTTCTAAGCAAAACAATTGTGATCTTTTCTGGTTTGGGGTTTTTTCCTCTTTAAAGAGTACTTAAAAGTATGACAGTAAAATGTATGTGAGAATGATTACAAGTCATGTCTAGCTTTGAAGGCCCATTAGTAAAATAGTGGCATATTGACACGTTGTGAGCCATGGGAGCTACAGGTGAATTTGGGCTTGGGGGGAAAGGATTGAATTTGTGTTAATTAAAACACTTTGTGGAAAGTAATCCAAATTAATATTTTGGACACAAAGGATTTTGAGAAGTGTTGAGCATCTCTGACCTTACAGTCAAGATGATAAAGTTCACTAGAGGCATCACTGAGATCTCTATGAGTCCCTTGGGAAAGTTAATACATGACATTTCTAAATCGGAATGTTATTTGTTTGTTTTTGAATACTTTCAGTCATTCCTTGTCCTTCATATGGGAGTGGAAGAGGTACAAGCCCTCCATCACAGACCTTCATTTTTCCAATGCAGTTCTGTAAGGATTTTTAATACCTTTTGTAAATATTTTTTTCCTGACTACAAAGGAGAAATTGCAGGGACTTGTCAAATTCGTTTGGGATTGTTGGTTCTTGGTAACTGGCAAGGGGCTGAACTGCCAATGTACTTCGAGGGGGTTTTTTTGTCTTTTTTCTTTCTCCCCAGTGCCTCAGGAGGAATATAATCGGCTGTTAATGTTCAGTGTAATGACACAGTCATTAAGAAAAGTATCTATGTGGAATCTGTTGACAGCTCCGTGTATTTTGCATTGTTCTTTTTGAGCAGAAAATGAAAATGTTTGTTGAAGCTCCTAGTATATTTATAGTGATACTTTTCTCTACTCATCCCCAAAAGAATGCTCTTCCATATTTGGTACCTTGGCACCAGGAGTTTTGTTACTCGCCACATGGTGCATTATCCTGTGCCACACCGTTAACTTCTGTGAGCTGACACAGCTGCAGTTTTGGTGTTTTCATGTTAGCCTTTGTTTCATTTTTCAGGAGAACTGTCTTACAGATGATATCGGCATATCTACGTGGAAGGAGCAGGTTTTCCTGTCGCATAGTGCCTTGCTGGCAAAGAGCTGCCAGGCTGCAATGGAGCTAGCAAAGCACAGCGCTGAGATTCAGGACATGGCATTTCAGTATGGAAAACACATGTCTATGAGTCATAAGGTATGCCTTTTCCTTTCGTTCTGGGATCTTAAATACAGAAAGACTTGTAAGATGTGTTGCTCTTGAGCTCTGTCGTATACTGCCACTATGCTGTAGACTTTTGCCAGCAGGTCAGCAATGTTGAGAGATTTGACTGCTGCCTGGTGTTGAAGATGTTTGCAGAAACTGCTGGTGTGAACAGTGCTTATGAACTGGCAAAATCACACTCCTGGCAATGTAGCTTATTTCATTCAAGGCTCTGTTAATATCCTTCTAGCGCATCTTTCTGTATCAGCTTAAAACTTTACTTTCTCTGCTCCTACATTCTTCCTAAAGCCACTGTCCCAGTAGCAGGAATTGCAGGAGGAAGCACGTGTTGGGTTTCAGCTGCCACCAGGCAGAGATTTGTATCGAGAGGCTCAACTGCCTGCAGCAGCACGAGGCTGAGGCATGAGCTGCAGTGGCTGAAGGACCTGCATACATTCCCTTCTGAATAATCTGCTGTGGAGGTAACTTCCAGAGGGGGTAGCTAGATGATAAGGAGGGAGGTCACTAGAGATGGACAGGAGCAGCCTCTGCAGCAGTAGGATTTCCTGGAGAAGGCCTCTGACCTCCATTAGAAGTCTTTTAGTCCACAGCTAGAGTTAGTCCAAAGGCAAACACACACAGAGTGGAACTCGGATCCTTGGCACTCCTGTTTTGCCCTACAGATCTGCTCCTACTTGCAAGTATAGAGGTAGCTTGAGACAGGCAGGCAGATCTCCCATCCACTTCAGCTGAGCTGACAGTTAGTTTCTAGTTTCCCCAGGAGAAGGAAGTAGTTTTATAAAGCACAGCTTTACTGCTGCAGAAATGCTGCTATACACTATTACTAGGTACAACTCTACCAGTAAATTGCTTCTAGTGCAGGCTGTAGCCTTAATATTTTGTGTATGTTTTAATCTTAATACATTCACCATTGACATATAGTTGTGTAAAAAGGATTGCATAATTTTAATAGAAAGCTCCTAGCTATGTAACATTTCCGTTGTCAGAAGGAAGGTCATATTGCATCAACTTCCTTGGGTACTGGAAGGTAGAATGTATTACCCTTCACAGATTAAAACCTGATATTCTTCCCACTAAAGACTGGATCATTCTTTCCTTTATATTTTTTCTGCTTCCCGTGACTCAACAGTTGCCTACCTGGCTGTGTCCCATCACGTGCCCAGCTCTGCAAGCTGTCCTTTACCCATTTCTTTGCAGATTCTCTACGTGCTTCTCTTTACCACAACTTTCTGCCACTGCAATGCTTTCAACCTCTTCCTAACCCTCCCCCAAACTTGAAAAAGTGCAACCAAAGTACAAAAAGCAGTCAAAGCAGAAAGTGGTGAGTAGGTGTATAATTGGGATATGGACCTTGATTTGATGAGTGGGTGGATATGTATAGACTGTTCCTGGGAATTGAAGAAAGATGATGTTCTCTTTCAGCTACATTTGGACCTTCAGCCATTTGTTAAAGAAAGTTCTAGTGACACCATGGCCTTCAGTTTGAATTCTGCTCCTGCAGTCCTCCATCAGGAATTCCTTGGAAGGGAGGCATGGATTAAACAGATCAGAGAGGTAAATTAAAGCATTGTTTACAATTTCCTAGTTTTGCTATTTGTGTATCTCTTCCTATCTATACTTTCAATCTGCAAAGGAACTTAGAAACTGACAACGGACAAGACAACATAGAGGTTACCTCTGCTCTCCAATATCTCTCTCTTCCGTGCTTTCAAGAGGGGGAAGTCTAGGGACCTGACAGTCAAGCTCTGTCAAACTTCCGTGTGTCAGTGTAACAAGCAGATTCATTTGCGTGGAGCATATGTCTGTTCCTCTGCACTACTTGTGCAGTCCCACGTCTTAGCTTAAAGCTGCTTTCACTGGCAGCTTAAAGCAGAGAACTTTGCATTACAGTGGTTGAAAGGTAGGCACACATTTCCTTCTGCCAGCTTGGCTCTGGGAGCAGTAATTTTGGATGGGGTGGGAAAGATCTGGGGGACTTGGCTTCCTGACCACTACAACATATTTGTAAAATCTAGCTGGCTGATATCCTTATTCATTGTTCTCTTAATTCAGCTGTTCTTTTCCTCTAACCCTTAGATGAGGAAGGCAGTAAGAGTAAGATAGCTACATGGTGTAGAACTTTTTTACGTACCATGTAACACAGCAGGATTCAGGTCCCTGAACAGCTACATGGGTCTTGCTGAAACAAATAGATAACCATAGAAGACAGCAGTGAGGGAAAGGAGGGAAAACACCAAAATGGCCAAAATTAAGCATTCTGCTGAGTTCCTGCATCAGTCAGACATGTTTTGTCTGTCTAAACAGCGGTGATGGCTACCATTTGGAAATTCCTGCAGTTGTTACACAGATTTTTTTAGTAGAAAGGCTCCTGCCTTCAGTAAGAAGCTAGCTCTGTGCAAGCATATTCATTCAAGGTGTCCTTGCCAATGGCTCCTTTCCTTGCTGGTTTGAAAGCAGGACTCTCAGGTAGAGGTTGTGGAGTCTGAGCCTCTGCGCGGTTCTGCGTTCATGATGGCCAGGTTGCAGCCTGCCTTCATATACCACAAGCAAGAGGCATAGTCTCTTCAGCAGTGAAATTCTGGGAAGCATGTGCAGAATCTACCACCTTACAGTGGTGTAGAGTTGCAGGATCTTAAAGTGAAGCAAACCTTTTGTCATTTTGAAATTAGGGGCTGGTAGTTTATAACGTGTGACAAGGAGCTTTGGAATTCTACAATCTCAACACAAGGCTCATATGTGAGTTGAATGTAAATGGATTTGGATGATTGCAGTTGGAGAATAATGGTATTACCACAGCACGGTATATAAAAGCTTTGAAACAATTTCCCATCTGCAGAATCTAGAGCAGGTTGCAGGACTCCAGGAGTGCCGTCTGTCTGCTTACTAATTCTCATACTGAAAATGGGCATTATAGAAACAATGAAGCAGTTTTCTCTGAAGGGAGGGAAGGGCGGGGGGGGGGGGGAGTGACATGCACTATGCAAAAGTATCTACTAACTACTACTTTAGCTCAATATAAAGTGGAACACCTCATCCAGGAGCCTTTCTTGGCTTGTGTCTATTTAGAAAGGAAAATTGCCTTTCATTAACTACAAGCTCTTTGAGGTATAATCCATAGTCACATTCACTATGTGACATTCAGTGTAGGGCAGGCACTCCAAGCAGAGACTTTCTCACGTTGGAAGTACTCGAGAGAGTATGCTCCTAAGCCACCCTCTTGTGCAGTGTCATTTGTATGGTTTAACTAGGCAAAGCACGCACAGTGCACTCAGTCCCTGTCAGGTAGTTTTTCTTAGTAGCTGAGTTTGAGTAGGCATATGGAAATCACATTATGGACCTTTAATTACTGCTAAGTAATCTGACTTTCTCCTTTGATTGTTTGCCCATATAAGCATTCATACAATGGATTAAAGGCAGCACCTCCTCTTGGCAGCTTCCTCCTCCTGCAGGAAGGTCTTGGAGTTCAAGAAGGTGGAAGTAGAGAGCCCCGTTGCACCTAGTAACCTCCACAGTGGTATACTGCTCAGAAAGCACGTGGCTGGGACTCACTGGGCTGTCATGCATATTTTAGATGAAAGCAGTCTTCAGAGAGGTCATGAAGGATGCCTGAACTGCTGTGGAGTGCCCATAACTTGTGTGATTGTCTCACCACGGTTCTCTTGTCAGACGTCCGGATACAGTTGCTGTTCCCAAGGTAGCCTTTGAGTGGAGGTAGCCATGTGCACCTTTCTGCTGCTGAGCTGAAGACCTTTTAAAAGCCCCTTTGTCCCTTCATTTGGAAAGAGCAAACACATCAGATATCCAGGTGCGGAAGGTTACATCAACGCTAAATATATGATGTGTTTTGAGAAGATTAGATTCTGATTTGGATGAAATTTAGAGACTGCCTTAAAAGAAACTTGGAATGTGTATAGGGGGAGGCCTTGTCATAGGAGGAAAGAAATGTGTAGGTATGTGTACGTGTGTGTGTGTGTATACATGGAGATATATATACGTGTACACATATATATATGAATGAAAGATTCATAAAGACCCTAGTCTCTCCTGTTCTCCCTGACCTCACCACCAACACCCTCCACCTTTGTGCATTTAAAACTAAAATACGCAATGAACTGTTTGGTCAGGTGTCTATTTTAAAAGGACTATGGGTTGGGTTAGAGTCCTGAAATGTTTAAAAACAAAAAACCCCAAACCGCCCAACCTTAAATGATTCCTGGGAAACACTGTGGTAGACAGACAAAGAAATGCTCAAATGCTCTTCTTCAGAGAAAGTGTTGTAATAGTTGCTGAATGCAGTCCCACTGAGCTTTTGGAAAGCTCTGTATCCTTAAAATTTAGCAGATAATCCAGGCCTGTAGGATAGAGGATTTTCTAGGGATCAAAAAACAGAAGAGTTGGTCACTTACAGCCACTTACAGATAACCTCTCGCTAGACAGGAGCAAAAATTCTCTGGGTTAAACAGGCATCCACCATCTAAGCAGTGAGGTACAAAAGACCAAAGTTTGAGTGGAGAAATAAAGCAAATCCCTCAAGAACAGGTCTAGAATCTATCTCAGCTCATAGCATTTGTAATTTAAAAAAGGAGTAAGTCAGAAACTAGAACCTTCTCATCTAGGGCATGGTAATCCATGTGCCTTTCACCATATCTTTCTGAGCCTTCTCAGAAGAAGCAGGGCTGGAAGAAAAGCATTTATCAAATGCTTTATCAAGCATTTCTCAAGTATAGGTTTTAAGACATGTAAAATGGACCATCTCATTTGAGAAAGAAAAGTCAGTCTTGGAAAACATCCTGAAAACCTGCTCTAAAAGCATTGTCTTAAACCATCCCCTGGGGGTCTGCTGATCTGATGCATTTTGAGTAATTTCATGGGGCATTCAGGGATCTTTCTTCCTGGCATAGTGAGTTGATTTCATACCACCTCATTTATTAATGAAGAATGTCATGGTATTATTGTCCCTCACTACTGGCGCATCTTTGGTGTTCAGGAGGAAGGCTGACCTGAGTTGGCTGTTTGTCTGATATGCTAGTAACAGGATGCTTTTCTCTGAGCGCCCAGAACCCCAACATTCAGAGGCTGAGCTCCACTGCCAAGCAGTGAGACCTAGAAAGTTATCCAAGTTTGACAAGAGTGCGTACCTTTTGCAAATCAGGCTTAATACCTTTGAGGAAGCTAAACCAGATGCAGAAGCCTGATGTAAAAGGGAAAAAAGATCTGTGTGTCTGAGATCAGGGTCAGTAAAAGTCAAAGAGCCAAACTACTGTGAGGATAAAAAGAAAGAAAAAAAGCAAAGGTGCAGTTATAGTAAAGAAGGTTTAGGAAACAGATTAGATAAGGTTGCTGCTTGGAGAAGCACAACTGCCATTGGCTTGAATGCTTGAGAGGACCAGAGCATAAGAAAATATTCTTGCTGTTTGTAATGTGTATTAGACGCGGGAGGAGGCATGCTGAGCACACCTCTTCTGGTATTGCTAAGACTAAAAAGCATCTTCCTCAACCATGTTGGCAAATTCTCCACTGCAGTGTGAATCTGCATATAGGCAATCATTTGTTAAAGAACATATTTCTCGTGTGTTCTGATATACAATATAACTACTAGATATATTTTGAGGAAGCCATAAGATCCAACTGGTATGAATAAAAGTTGGCAAATGAAAAAGATGGGAATACACAAATAAAGAAGCAGTTATTGGCAGTGGTTTTGCTACTCCCAAATGCTATCAGGCTGTTTTCTTAATATGCATTCCAGAAAAGCTGACTTAAGAAGCTTAACGAGCGTAGTAAAGAGGTTTTGTGGGTTAGTCCCCTTTCTCCTTCAGACAAGTCAGGTTTTTTTATCTGCTGTTTTCCTTCCTGTTCTGCTTGCTTAGTCTCTGGTCAGTTCTTTTCTCTATTTTTTCTTCCTCACAAAAATTAATTTATTTTCCAAATCTGTGCCATTTCTTCAAAGCTGCAGTTGCCACATAGTGTTCCTCTTTAGTGCAGGCCTCAGCTCTTCTCCTTATGCCAGTTGACCTGCTGCTCTTGGCTGCTCTCTGAAGTCCCCACAGAGGACATGGAGAGGTAGCAGTCCTAATCTGCATCTTTACAGGAGACACCTTCCAGAAGAACTGAGGTCTGTGGTCTTCCCTTGTGGAGGCTAGAGGGAAAGAAATGGGTGATCTCTTTTTTTTTTTTTTTTTTTTTTTTTTCCCCCCTCAATGTGGCTGAAAAGAGAAGAGCTGGAGTTGGATGAGGTGATAGTGATGCAGCTGGATCTGACCTAAGGGAAGGGTTTCAGGTTGGTTAAGC